CTGATGTGCTTCTTCCTTGTGGGCTTTGTTGCTTCTGAGCTTGATGGCTGCTTGTTGATGGCTGCTTGTTTACCTTCAAGCCGAAATTTGACCATTTCATACAGGTTTCACAGCACTGTTTATCTTTTTCATTTCAGTTGGTTTTGTTGTGATCCATTTCCTTTATTTTTGATATTTACATCTTCTCTTCTTGTTTCAAGGAATTTTAAAATTCCATTCCTTATTTCTTTAATTACCCAGCAGTTTTTAAGCAGGATGCTGTTCAGTTTTCATATCTTTGTGGCCCCCCCCCCGCCCCCGTGATCTCATTTTTGTTTTCTAAATTCATAATATTGTCACCTGAGAAAATGATGTGTCATATCTTGATGTTTTATAATTTATTAAGGCTTGCTTTGAGGCCTAACATATGGTCTGCTGTAGAGGATGTTCCATGAACACTGTAAAATAATGTACAGTATATTGTGCTGCTGTTGTATGAGGTGTTGTTCTGTATATGTCTTAGAGGTTGACTGATAAGTCTTTATTGAATTTCTTTCCCATTGTTCTGTCTTCCTTCATGAGTGATACCTTGAAGTCTCCTGCTAATATTGCCTATTTCTCTCTTTGTTCAACTTTCTAAGAGTCTGATTAATGTACTGTAAGAGTGTTTCATTTGGTTATGTCTTCTTGTTCAATTGTTCACTTGTTATGTAATACCCTTCCTTGCCTGCTTGATGGATTTTAATTCTATTTAATCCAAGATTAATATTGTCCCTCTTAATTTTTTATTTAATTGCCATTAGTTTGTGATACGTATATATACTTTGTATGCTTTGATTTTTAGTCTATTTTTGTCTTTGTATCTAGGGAGCATTTCATGTAAGCAGCATATACTGGATCCTGTTTTCTTATCTAATCTACTAATCTCTGCCTATTGACTAGTGCCATTTAATCCATTACTTACATGTATGAATTTATTGCTGTGTGTTTTTCATGGTAGTGTTGTGTTTTGGACATCTTTAACAAAGTAATTCACTGTGTAAGAGAATGGATTTAAATTGCATTTTTGTATTTTCTGCTTTTAAGTCTTACAGTTACTTCTTTCTCTTTTTCTCTCAGAAGCATTCTTAGTTATTTTTATTTTTTTAAAGTTTGCACTGTTCTTTGGTGGAAATAAACAGCAGAACAGCGATGTAGATCCAAAGTGTGTACAATTCCTAAAGATGAATAATAAAGCTCTTTCTCTACTAATAAATTACAGGGTTTTAGTTAGTAAAAGATAAGAATATTACTGCTCTATCAATGTAAAATTATCATAATACCAACAACATTATGGTTAAACTAAGTTTATAATCATGTAATCATAATGTCTGCCTGGCTGATGGGTTTAAGCTGCTTTTCATTTTGCTTAAACTTGCTAAATAAAAAACATGGTTCTGTTTTCAGTATTTTGGCTGAGGGGAAAAAACTGACATCAAACAAGACTACAGTACTTAAATATTTCAGCTGACTTTGGCTATTTATATACTTGCTTTTTGGCTATTTTAGTTAACTCTGGCTATTTATATACTTGCTTTCAGTTAACTTTCGGCTATTTATATATTTGCTTATTGCTAAGGCCTATCTTCTCCTCTTACTGTCTCTTTGTTCCCAGCTCAGATCTCCTGTAAGTTCCCAAGACACATCATACTCCTCAATCCTGCCTTCAGACCCTTTTCTGCAGTGTTCCCGCTATCCGGATAACTTCTTCTTTCCTCCCGGGAATCCTGCCTCCATCCCCATTTCACTTGGATATCAGGTCTTAGACGAAGAGCCCCTACTGAGGTAAATCTTTTTAAAATCTACCCCATCCATTCTCTCTCAAAGAGTGAAGTTCTCCTGTTTCTTCCTTACACAACACCCAGATACTCACTGATAGCACTTTAGAGTTATACTTGTTCAACCATTCCATTAATCTAATAATTTAAACAAGTATTTCATGATTGTTTCATTATTTAATTATAACTTTTCCCTATTATGATTCATTAGAGCAAGGAACCAACAGTTTGATTTTCTAATGTATTGGTAATCAATACGTAGTTGATAGATGAAGACATTTTAATCAAGCTATAAATTCTGACATAATTTCCTATGACATTAAAAAATTTAATTGTGCTCGGTTCTGGTTTAGTTCTTTAATTGTGCTTAGTTCTTAGTTAACACCAGGAGAGATGAAGAATGGTCATTTAAAAGCTATCCCACCCAGGTACATGTCTGTTTCTTCTATGATTACGACACATACACTTGCTTAAAAATTTAAAATCAAAAGAAAGCCATTCTGCTTAGAAGTAGCAGAAGGTGGGCTGCCAAACAGGTATGGATAAGAAAGGCAAGCATACAATTGATTCCTACTAATCAGAGAATGTTTTGGCAGAACATGAAAAACTCTGGGTTATACATTTTTGTACATTACAAATGAAGAAAATTATGCTATAGGTGATCAAAAATGAAAGATACAGTATTACCTAATATTCCCATATCTGTCCATACTGAAAGACCCATGCTGACCACCATCTTGAAAGGTGGTTGGTGTTAGCAAGGCTTCCAACCAGCATATGAACAAGGCCTTTACCAGCGCAATCCAGTCTCTCCAGAGTCACTGATGGGGCTGAAACAGAAAGGTGATTCTGGCTACACTGTAAAGCGCCAAAGAGCAGGGACTTATTTACTGACAATAAGTACTTAATAATAAATAACGCATTATTTATTATTAATGAGTACAACTCCTGATACACCCACTACTTGTCAGCATAGTGGTGCATGTTTTACAAATAAATATCTCACCTCGTGTATTTCTCAGAAATACCCTGATGCAGAAAGGTATTGTCATTTACAAGACAAGCTAAAGGGGCCAAATTGTTGAAATAGTTTGTCTAATGATGTTCAAATGTTCGTAGAAATATCTATTCTTTTAATTCCACTTTTCCTTGAACGTTCTGATGCCCCACATAGAACTTTTAAGAAGGAAAGTTGGAAGTTAATTCCAAAGCTATGATCTTTCGTTTGCAATCTCTCAGGGGAAGTAAGGCGTTCAATAAATTACAGTGTCAAAATTTCCAGCTAAAAAAAGTCTTCCCTTTTCTGGAACCCTACCTTCGAACCTGGAGAAAGGCATATTCTCCCACAAAATATATATCCAAAAGCACATCAAGAAGCACAGCGTTGACCACGCCTGATGGTTTCATCACTCACCACTTCTACCAACTTTGCCATATAATCCAAACCCATGCTTTGGCAAAATGACTAGTTTACTAATTTAAATAATATGGGCCCCTAGGCAAATAGTAAAATGTTCAATCTATACTTGCCCAGGCCCCACTGTTTGTAACCAGCAATAGTTACATTTTATTTTAAGGACTAAAGTGCAAATAAACAATTATGTTATAATTAGGGATCAAGATTTTTATGTAAAAGAAAAGAGATTCAGATATAATACTCAAGAAGTGTGTTTTAAAGCCATGGTATTAAATTTGATGGAAATAATGTCAAATCATGATTTTTTAAGACACACTCTATTTCTAAGTCCCACCAACTAAGGAAAGTCTAGAAGTAGTAACAGCAAGCACTCCCAACCATTCAAGTTACGCTTTCTACATGACACAGCCTAGTAAAAACCAGCAGAATTCCTCAGAGAATTGGCAGATTCTTGTCTGGGATAAGGAATCTAAAAGTAAGCCTAAGAAATCTTAATCTAAGAAAGCAACATAGTAATCAAAGATTGATGGTTTATATAAAAAAAACTTGAAAGTGCCAGAATGGCTCCCAATGACAAAATTTTGGACAACTTAAGCATAAAAAATAGAGTATAATTGACTGAAAGACACTGAATCCATGAATAAATGATACTTAAAAGAAAAGTCCTATCCAATTGGGAAAAGCGGGAAGGAGAGGTAGGGACCTTTCATTTGTAACCACTGGAAATCACTAATAGACCAACTCTGTAATCTAAAAATTGATAGTTGAAAAAATATTACATATTTATATTGCCTTTTTCAATAGGAACTACAGTAGAGATTAATCAAAGTGGTTCTGTGGATGTTGAAGTTTATCTTCACAGAATGCCAGTTTACAAATGCAAAATAAATGTTGAGGTAAGAAAAAAAGTCACCACTTGCAACACCTAATGAAATAACTGTTTCAAACAAGGAATTTTAATTGCTGCTACAAGTCATGGGACAAAAGACTGACTAGGAATCTGATACTCACAATGTAAAATATCATCTCACAGATTACTTGGCTAGTTGCAAAGAGAAAAAGTATCAATGGAGCGATGACTGTGATAACGTTAATTAAAATCGACATCACTTTAAAGACTGAACCAGATGGCAAATGCTTCCAGATGTGATACAAGAAGGGCGTACACAGTATCACCTACAAAGTATTCTATCCAAAACATCTGACTTGAATCTAACCAAGATCTGCTTTTCAATTTGTAAGAAACAGAGGAAAATAGAATCCAGTTAAATATCACAAAAAGGGAATAAGCAGATAAATATTCTAAACATTCTAAAAGTTACCTGGACCAAGTCCTTCAACAAGCCTATGTCATGGAAGGCAGGAAAGGGGAGAGAATCATTCTGGATGAAGAGAGATTTAAGAGTCCGACACCTTAATGCAATGTGTGGAATCTGTCTCAGCTCATATACTAGCATCTGTAACCATTTGCCATCAAGTTAACTTCAACTGTGGCAACCCTATGCCAATCAAAATATGCCCCCTACAGTTTGCAATGGCTGATTTGGGGGGGTGGGGGTGGGGAGTAAATTGCCAGACCTTTCCTTCAAAGCATCTCTGGGTAGACTCAAACCACCCAAGTTTCAATTAGCAGCCGAACGTATCATCCTGGGACTCTTAAGCATCTTCAGCAGATGCTGTTTTCTCTGTATTTCCTCAAATAGAAAACATCCATAAAAACTAAGGCAGGATAGAGAAAATATAGAAAACTTTATTTGGAAGTCAACATCTTATTGTATTCTACTTACCTCCACTTAGCAGCTTCATTACAAGCCAGAGCTCATCTTTAACCACAAAAGATGTATAGTAAGACACAATATTAGGATGGTGACATTGACTCATGGCTTGAATTTCTTTCTACAAATAAAAAGAGAAAAACATAATTCACCATATGCAACTTGGAAAACAATCATTCCAAGTTGGCAAATCCAGATTTGAAATTTCAATACCATTTCACCATCTTTCTGGGACCTTCATGGCCCTCACTTTTTAAAAAAGAGTCAAAACAAAATAAATTTAAGTAAAAACCTATTCCTGTCCCTCAGACCATTCTGATGCTACTCTTCCACTCCGTACACTATTGATCTTAGAAAGTAGAAACATGCACCAGGTAACACACCAACGCATAGTACAAGAGGCTCTACTGGGACACAGGATTTACGTCATGATACCTTTGAAGAGCTATCTTGGGAAGTCTGGTGTTAGAGGTTAATAAACAGCAGGTGGTTTTTGCTTTCTTGTTTGCTTAATTTTTGCAAATTCTAGACGTGCAACACAATAGTAATTTATCCCATTGTTGTGAGATGATTAAATAATTCTTATTCAAAAGCAAAACAGTCTGGAAGAGATTTGAATGATTTGACAACATCTGAAACAAAATCTAGAGTGGGACCTGAGGCAAAGCCTAAAGTACTCTATCTCAGTTATGAATTTAAATTAGATTGGGTGTGACCATATGTACGAGGTTTGATTCTAGCCTTGTTTACTCGGTGATCACATTCCCACCCTCTCAGGTGAGCCTACTCCATCATCCAGTCACAGTAAACTTCAAGTAGTCCTGGACACTGATCCCTGTGGTTTTCCCCGCTTCAAAGACACTTTGTCCATTACCTTTGCCTACCTACTTCCTAGCTTTCCCTCGCTTCTCAGCCTAAACACCACCTGCTTCCAGTTTCTCAAGGTGAATCAGGTGCTTGTTCTTTCAGCCTCCAGGTACCCTATGTATCTCCTCCTTTCACAGCCCATGATGAATGGGGCCATACATGCGTGCTTTATCTGTCTCTCCACTAGACTGAGAATTCCATGAAGGCAAGTAATTAAATGTGGATTCATAATTATTGTGAAACTTACTATACCTTACTGTTACTGCCTTATTTTCTCCTGCTTCTTAAAACTATATGTTCAAAGAGGGCTAATACTGTATTCTTGGCAATTATGCTGACACAGTATATGCTCAATATATATTTGTTCCATAAATAAAATCCTACAGCTTCAAAAAAAAAAAATAAAATAAAATAAAATCCTACAGCTTCTTAGTCATGTACTTGTCCTATGCCTTCAGTGGGTGTATTTGTTTAAGAAGAGTAATTGTGTGAAAGATTCTGTAAGATCTGATTCATAGAGCTAAATAAATTCACCAACTGAAATAAATGCTTCCCTCATCTTCCGTAATGTAAATTGTGGCAAGGACCTTGTCTTGTGTGTGGCAGCATGCCCAAAGTCACCAGCATAATCTTCTGCACTAAAAGCTAAGTAAACATGAAGGAAAGAAGCAGGAGCTACAGTAAGTGCCTGCCTGTAGACACTGTGATATAGAGTGTGAAGAAATAAGAGATCCACACATAAGAGGAAATACACAGGACAGGATGTATGTGGCACTGTTGGGGAAGCACAGGACCACTGACCCCAAAGTCAGGGGTTCAAACCCACAAGGAGAAAAAGGACGCTTTCTGCTCCTGTGAAAGAGTTGAAAGCTTCATATAGGGTTCACCATGAGCCAGAATCAACTAGATGGCAGTAGGTTTATATTATTTTTCATACATGTCAAATAGTATTAAGGATACTGAATGTTATGAAAGTCCATAGGGAAAAATAATGAGGTAGCCAAGCAGGATTTAATTAGATTCTGCAAAGGAGGTGGGAACTAGATTTAGCTCTTCAAAATGTAGAGAAATTTCAGTGGTTTAGAGAAGTGTGAATTCAGGGAGCAAGCGCTAGAGGATTCTCTCTGCCCACTATGGGACAAGGTTCTTGTCCCTTTTCAGCTTCTATACCTAGAAGATTCTACTTATGCATGCCCACTTAATCTGCTTTTTTATGTATCTCAAAAGAGACCGACGTAAAGCTCACCCCGCCTCCCTGACTTACATTCCAAATGGGAATGAAACCACATGTATGTTGTATGTGTAGTTGATTCAACTCATAGCAATCCTAGAGAGTAGGCCTGCCTTCAGTAGCTTGTTATCTTTATGAGATCAGATTGCTAAGTCTTTCTTTCTTTTAAGCTGCTGGTGGGTTTGAAACACTAACCTTTTGGTCAGCACCTGAGCACTTAAGTAATGCAGGGCTTCTTAACCGTAAGTACAGGGGTTAGGATTTACAATATATATTTGTAAGGGCGAGGGAACAATTCAACCCATAGTCATTTTCAGCCATCAATGGATCATTAATAAATTGAGTCATGTTAGAAAAAAAAAAATCAGACTATATTCCACTTCCCATTATCTTTTCATTCCACTTTCTCCACAAACTTTTTACAGCTTCCTTCTTAGGAAGAAGTTTTAAAATGAAAAACTGTTATAGTTAATATGTTTGAATATATGCATGTGTTATATATGTCTATGATACACTTTTTGTTTCTTACGATCAGTCACTACCAGAAAGTTTTAAAGTCATTGATCTGGATGATAACAAGTCCCACTAACTACTCTTTTTGCTGTGATCTCTTATTCTGGTAGGTCACCCTGAAAACTGTCACGAATTAATCCACAAGAACAGCTGTAAGAAAAGAGATGGTCAATAATGAGTATTGGCAAGGAAGAAAAGAAACTAAAACCCTCATCCACTGTTTGTAGGATTGTAAAACAGTACAACCCATGGACGACAACCTGGGAGTTCCTCAAAAAGTTACACATAGAACGTATCATGTACCCAGCAACTCCCTTTGTAGGCATAGACCTCAAAACCCTCACTGCCATCGAGTCAGGTCCTACTCACAGCAACCCTGTAGAACACAGAACTGCCCTGTGGGTTTCTGAGATTGTAACTCTTTATGGGAGTAGAAAGCCTCATCTTTCTCTCTCGGAGTAGCTGGTGGTTTCAAACTGCTGACCTTCTAGTTAGCAGACCCATGAGTGGCCATTTACAACACTAGGGCTCTTGGTATATACCTATGAGAAACAAAAACATGGATACACACCCAAATGTGTACATGATGTTTATAGAAGCATTATTTGTCAGAGTCAAAAAGAAGAAACAATCCAAATACTTATCAAGTGATAAATGGATAAACAAAATGCAATATACTTATATAATGCATTATCATTTGGCAATAAAAATAATGACACAAAGTACAATATTGTGCTAATACTGTGCTAAGTAGAGGCCAGTCAAAACCGATTATTTTCCACTTAGAGCAAATCTTTAGACAGAACGTTTAGTGGTCTGCTAAGGCTGAGGAAAGGAAGAACACCAGTGGGCAGTGATGAAGTCTTCTGGAATGAATCAGACAGTGGTGATGTCTGCACAACTTTGTTACTATGCTAAAAACCACCAAATTATATATTCTAAAGAGGTGAGATTTGAGGTAGTTAAATCCTCAACAACACTTCTCATTTCCAGTCTCGTGGCCATCCCAACACCTGTCAAATAAAATCCTGATTTGCTCACTTAGTATTTCCTTTTTATGGGCTCTTTGCTATTCTTTTCTGGTTCTAAAGCCCTGCCAGTAGGATCTCCCTCTCAGCCTGTCCAAAGCCTGCTCAGCTCAGTTTTGGTCACACAGACCACAAATGCCTCACAAAGCCCTCTATCATCTCAATTAGATGCTCTCTTCCTATTACTCCCACAGTACCGATAGCTCTCTTGAGGCAGTCCAATGCTTGCTATTCCCCTCAGGTGTCTGTCTAATGACTCTAGTCCTATCATCGATCAGAGGACAGAACATGTTCAAAATACTGCACATGGACGTCTTTCTTACAGGAAAGACCTGTCAGCAGATCTCCAGAGATAAATGTAGGAAGATTTGATAGCTGACTTTGCTATTCTACAGAGCAAAGGTTGTCAAACAAATAGTTTGACGAGAAAGGAAGGATACATTGTCCGTCACTAGTAACTGCCATACACATGACACATCTAATCCCAGTTTACATCAGCTCTCCTATAGCATTATCATAAAGACAACTTTAAAAAGAAATGTTAAGTCACATCAAAAGTTTAGTATGACCTAATATCTGTGCATATAAACGACAGGTTTTCATCTCTCAGAAATAGACCTCTTGGCATTGGGATTTCAGTGTTTTATAGACCTAGCTCTGATACCACAGCCACCACAAATAAATTTTGGATTCTTTATAATCCTGATGGCTCTTCGAGGTGGAATCATATTATTATCCTAAACTTGATTTATTAAAAGTCACTTTCCCTTTCACTTATTTGCCATACTGTACATACCACGCAATATATCCTTATATTTGTAATGTAAAGCTTATTGATACATATGGGAAAACATGAGGGTTAAACAAGTTTTTTTCCCTTTGAATAAGCTACCATATTTCTTCAGCATATTATTATGCTGAAAAAGCCCCCCAGTTTTTTGTGGTAAAATTAGGTGCCTCGGCTTATCCTCGAGTACATATGGGACATCAAATCAGCAATCCTTTAAAACAAAATTTTATTTTCAAGACTATGAAAAGATTATCTGAAGACATAAATTCTGTACTTCTGAACTGAGATCACGATCATTTTTAAAGTATTGTATTAAGAAAATACTGGAACTGAGCCAGACAAACCTGAATTTGAACCCAGGCTCCGTCACTTATATGATCGACCCCCCTCATCTATAAATGAAACTGCTGTCTATCACAAAGCAATGCTGTCAGGTTCAAAGTGAACTTTTATGCCTGGCACCAAGTGACTAGTGCTAATATCATCACCCTGGGAACTTAGCCAGGTTACTTATACTCTGAGCTCATTTCTGCAATCGTAAAGAAGAAAGTAGTAAGACTTACATTTTTCTTTATATTACCCTATGGGTAATGCCAAGTAGCTGACAAATATAGCCTCTCAAAACCCAGTTTCAATATGTAGGCAATTTATTTCCCCCTTTAACAAAATTAGCTTACAACTGACAAACTTCTATCATCACTGAAGTTCCAATGTACAAAAGAAGCTCCAGGAGATTGTGGAGATCAGAAAATCCATGAACCTGACATAGGAACTTTGTTTCTTATATAAAATGTGTTTGTTGGGATCCTTTCCCACAGATCCTTCAGCTTCTACTCAAACATTACCAACTACTAAGGAGATGCACAAGAGGTCTTCAAAACGGCCATAACAAAATAGAAGTCAAAGACAGTGGAATGATTCCATGGATGATGTGCAGCCTTCTTGTGCCTGCCTCATTTGCTCTAAGTTCAAAATATCCTTTATGAATTTTACAGTAAACACTACTTAATGTAGAAACCACACATTGGTAAATAAACAAAAGAAAAAAACGTCAGAAACAGGAAATGTGCCTACCAGGAGCTCATCCATGCTGGTCTGACATTTCTCAAGGTTTATCCGTTTGATTGCCACTTTCTCCTTCTTAGGGGCACAGTATGCTGCTTGGACCACAGCAGTTGCTCCACTCCCTAAAAGTAAGTAAGTAGATAAATAAATAGTTAAATAACTAGAAGTATGACATGCCATGCCTACCTCCCACACAATTGAAACATAAAAGAAATACTTACCTTGCTCCTAAACTGAGCAACACATGCAAAGAAACACCCTACAATGCAGGATGTTAGAACGGGCAAAAACCCAGGCCACTTC